CTACAAGCCCGGACACACTGTATATGTCACAAATACTCAAAAGAAATTTTATTTTAGGTCATTGATTTAAATCAATGATTTTTATTAAAAAAATCATGTAATAAAAATCGTGATTTAAATCATGATTTAAATCAACTTGATTTAAATCATGCAACCCTGCCTACAAGGTACTTCCTGTGAACTCAGAATCTTGAAATTCGGCACGAAGCAACGTTAATAGTACAGATAAAGGAAAAATTGCGAAAATGATAAATTTGAAGTTATATAAAATTTAAAATATTATTTTTGCTTACATGACATAAAATATTTTTTTAATAATTATAAACTTACTACCCACCCTTTTTCACATGAACGCGTAGAGATATTAAAGTTGAAATTCATATCAAACACTTCTTAAATCNAAAATTGCGAAAATGATAAATTTGAAGTTATATAAAATTTAAAATATTATTTTTGCTTACATGACATAAAATATTTTTTTAATAATTATAAACTTACTACCCACCCTTTTTCACATGAACGCGTAGAGATATTAAAGTTGAAATTCATATCAAACACTTCTTAAATCTATAGGTATAAAGGTCCTATTCCTATTTATTGGGACGTCGTCGCAAGTTAAAGACGGTTGAAGATAATAAAGCTATATTGTGCTAGCAAGTATAGTATTACAAAGCGAAATAGCAAAGCGCGGGAGCGTCGCGGAGCCTAACACAGGTCGTGCGCAGAAGCCGATCCGATGCGCACTGGAGCTGCGCGCTGCAGACTGGGAGCGGGTTTTGTTGCCGCGCCCTGCGCGTGCCGCGTCTCCACCCGCTGTCGCCTAGACCAGTTCGCGGCGTAGTGATGTGTGTAGGTTGCATGAAGCTAGTGATGTACACCACATCACCCCCTTGGCAGAATTATTGTCCTGGGGAAAAATAATTTGAAAATTTGACCTGTCGCCCAGAGCGAGTAGTTCTAACCAGTTGTTTGGAATCTTGATTAGAACAAGTCAGCGGCTGCGGCGATTTAAAATCGTCTGAATCTGTCAGAATGAATGCTGGTTTAATTCTATCTATTGAAACAGTAACTGGTCCTCTATTTAATTCTACAGTTAAAGTTTTATCTGTGCGTTTGAGCACTTTATGTGGTCCAGTGTATGGGGCTTCTAAAGAACCGCGTAAAGCATCTTTTCTTAAATAAATGTAATTTGCGGTTTTTAAATCTTCATGCACAAAAACAGTTTTTTGGCAATGTCTAGATGCTGGGATAGGCTTTATCTGTGACATAAAATTACGGAGCTGCGACACAAAGTCTGATGGTTGAGGTATCTGGGAGTTATTACATTGAAAGAACTCACCAGGAATCCGTAGTGGTTCACCGTACACCATTTCAGCAACCGAGCAATTCAAGTCAGGCTTCCAAGCTGTGCGCACGCCGAGCAGCACGATCGGCAGTACATCAGTCCATCGGGTACTTCTGTGGGCCATAATTGCAGCTTTTAGTGTACGGTGAAAACGCTCAACCATACCATTAGCCTCGGGATGATAAGCAGGTGGTGTGACGCAGACGAATTCCACAAAGATCTGTCAAAGATTTAAACAAATTTGAATTAAATTGACGACCTTGGTCAGTTGTCACAGTTTCAGGGCATCCAAAGCGTGAAATCCACGTATCATAAAAGGCTCTGGCCACAGTTTCTGCCGTGATGTCCATGAGTGGTTTAATTTCTGGCCAACGAGTAAATCTATCCACAGCTGTTAGACAATATCTAAAGTCAGAAGATGGTGGAAGCGGGCCAATCAAGTCAATGTGAACGTGGCTGAACCGGTGTGCAGTCAAAGGAAATTTGATCAACGGAGATGAGGTATGTCTTTGTACCTTAGATCTCTGGCACGATTGGCAAGCCTTGACCCAGTCACGACAGTCTCTTCGCACGGAGGGCCAAATGTACCATTCGGTAATAAGCTTGGTGGTAGGGCTTACCCCAGGGTGACTCATGTTGTGAACACTATCAAAAATCTGGCGGCGCAACTCCTTCGTTATGAAAGGCCGAGGCTTCGACAGAGAGGTGTCACAGTAAATAGTAATATTCGTACCTGGTACTGGAACCTTTTCTAACTTCAAAGATGAAGAATTGTGATGAAGCATTTCTTGTAGTTCTGCATTATCAAATTGTGATTGTGCAATAGTTTCTAGGTCAGGAGGCACAGATATACTTTCTATGCGTGAAAGCGCATCAGCTGTGATGTTATCTTTACCGGATATGTGTTGGATATCAGTGGTAAACTGAGAAATAAAATCCAAATGATTGAATTGCCTTGGAGAACATTTTCGATCTTTCTGTTGGAAAGCGAAAGTAATTGGTTTGTGGTCGGTATAAATAGTAAAATGTCTACCTTCAACCAAATATCGGAAGTGCTTCACACTTTCATAAATCGCCAAGAGTTCCCGGTCATAGGCACTATACTGCTGCTGAGCTCGATTTAATTTCTTGGAGAAGAAGGCCAGCGGTTGCCAATTGCCTCCAACGAGTTGTTGAACCACAGCGCCCAAGGCTGTATTTGACGCGTCAGTCACAAGGGCGAGCTGTGAATTGAGGTGTGGGTGTGACAAAAGAGCTGATCTTGAAAGACTTGCCTTACATTTATCGAATGATGACAGCTGTTCTGGGGTCCAGGTCAACGGGGTTGAGCTCTTATTCTTAGTACCAGCTAGCATATTATGCAAAGGCGCCTGGTCTTCTGCGGCATGTGGAATGAAACGCCTATAAAAATTGACCATCCCCAAAAAACGCAGCAACCCTCCAACTGTTTTTGGAGGTGAAAATTCCTGTATGGCTTTTACCCTCTCTTCTATAGGGCATGTACCATCTGCAGAAATAGAGTAACCGAGAAATGTTACCTCGTCTTGGCCAAAACTGCACTTAGCTTCATTGATGAGAATGCCATGCTCCTCCAGGCGTCGAAATACTTGCTCCAGGTGTTCCAGGTGCTCGGCTGGACTTCTAGAATAGATAAGGATATCATCAATATATGGATAGCAGTAATCTAACCCTCGAAGTACTTCGTCGATAAATCGTTGGAATGTTTGAGCCGCGTTTCTCAATCCGAACGACATAAACGGGTATTCAAACATTCCGAAGGGCGTGGTTATCGCCGTTTTCGGGATATTTTCAGAGAAAACTGGTATTTGATGGTAAGCTTTCACTAAATCTATTTTAGAAAATATCTTGCATCCTGCCAACCTATGTGAGTAATCCTCGATGTGCCTTATGGGGTACCTATCTGGTATGGTTCGAGCATTTAGCGCCCGATAATCTCCACACGGCCTCCAGCTGTCTCCTTTTTTCGGGACTAAATGTAAAGCAGAAGCCCAGGGGGAATCTGAACGGCGGACGGTACCATCTCGCAGCATCTCCTCGAATTGGTCTTTGGCAATTTTCAAACGGTCTGGTGCCAAACGTCGAGGCTTACAGAATACAGGTGGTCCAGGCGTTGTGCGGATGTAGTGAACTGTCTTATGCTTCACTTCATAGGGCATACCTGATGGCCTAGTCAATGTTGGGAATTGAGCTAACAAAGTGTGGTACTCACTCTTTCCGGAAATCGCCTTTATGCTGGGCAGCTGGCCCGGCTTCATCGAAACAGCAGTGGACAAGGTAGTCAGGTTGTCTAATAAACGACCATTCTTGCAATCGACTAGCAAACCATAATGTGCGATGAAGTCTGCCCCTATTATGGGCTTGTCCACATCTGCGAGCACGAAGTTCCAAGTGAAGTCGCGCCGTAACCCCAGGTTGAGGCGCATTTTCATTATTCCGTAGGTGCGGATTCTGGAACCGTTGGCTGCTGTAAGGCTGTAATCAGTAGGAGTTTTAAATTCACGTAAAAATCGGCGAGGTAAAACGCATAGATCGGAGCCTGTGTCGATAAGAAATTGTACTTTGCTACTTTTATCGGTAATAAAAAGGCGACGGGTAGTTGTATGACAGTCGGCTGCCGCCTCTACTGACCGTCTCGACAGTTTTCCTTCTTAAAATTGCACGGCGGTATACATTTGGCAGCTTTATCGGCGAACTTATAATGATACCAACACATACCCGAGTCTCGTATCCGTCTGACCTGTTGTTTCTAGAATTAGATCTACTTCTAGTATTATTATTTTGGCCCCGGTACGTATTACGACCGCGATTTTGACCTATGTTCAATTGCGATATTTGTCGGTTCAATTCATCTTGAATTCGTGAAGAAATTGTTTGCTCCAATCGTTGGAACATTCCTTCGATAGACGACGCAGAAGTACTGGCGACTTGATTTACGGGGGTAGGCACGACGTCGTATATTTGGTCCGCGAGAATAGCAACCATTACTTGTATGTGGGTAGGAAGTCGTCCTGACCACAAACTACGCAAAAAATCGTCGTTAACTCCATCACCGGCTAACGCTCTGAGGTGGCGTAAAAACTGCGACGGCTTACGGTCTCCTAATTCCTCGTGAGTAAGAAGTTGACGCATCCGATGTTCATGAGAAACAGAAAGGCGATTAATTAATTCGTGTTTTAATTTTTCGTACTTGCCGGTTGCTGGGGGATTCGTAATAACGTCTCTGACTTCACTCGCGGTACGCTGATCTAACTCACGGATGACTTGAAAAAATTTCGTACTATCATTCTTCGTCGACGTGCACGCAAACTGAGCTTCTACCTGGGCGAACCATATTTCAGGATCTTCCGCCCAAAATTGAGGTAGACGTAAAGCAACACGGCCCACTGCACAAGTATCTTCACTCGTCGCGTCCTTAAATTCTTGTTCAACGTCCGCGTCCGCTTCACGGTGACTCGACGGTCCGCTATTCGTAGCCGCGTCCATGTTATAACGGTCGAAGTAACGAGTTACGGCGAAACGACGCGTAAAAATATTTTTTAAACCGTGTTCGGTCTGGGGGTCACCACTATAGGTATAAAGGTCCTATTCCTATTTATTGGGACGTCGTCGCAAGTTAAAGACGGTTGAAGATAATAAAGCTATATTGTGCTAGCAAGTATAGTATTACAAAGCGAAATAGCAAAGCGCGGGAGCGTCGCGGAGCCTAACACAGGTCGTGCGCAGAAGCCGATCCGATGCGCACTGGAGCTGCGCGCTGCAGACTGGGAGCGGGTTTTGCTGCCGCGCCCTGCGCGTGCCGCGTCTCCACCCGCTGTCGCCTGGACCAGTTCGCGGCGTAGTGATGTGTGTAGGTTGCATGAAGCTAGTGATGTACACCACAAATCTAATTGCCTCTAAACTGTGAGAAATTCTAAATCAACGCAAAAATTCAAAACGCTGAGGTAGGTACCTACATATAATGCAAATATAGGAAAAATAAATAAATAAAAAATAATCATACCGCATATTTTGAAATTCGCCACTACTCGCAACGGAATCAAGTAAGTAATTTGATTTAATACGTCATAAATTGTAAACCGCTACGTTTGTACGGCGGAACCCTCGGTGTGCGAGCCCGACTCGCACTTGGCCGGTTTTTTCGTATTATTTTTGCTTCTGTTACGATAAAATTTATTTTGTATGTAGCTAAATAGATATTTTATCATCTGATTTCAAAGTTATTGTTCTAACTTATACCGTTTATGAACTATTATTGTGTGACCATCAAATTTGAGTGTAAATGAGAAGTACCCAGCACCGGACGGGCAGCAGCGTCTGCGTGCGAAACCTTATAAAAAACTGCGATCGCCAACCCGCCTGCCAAGCGTGGCGATTAAGGCAAATCCCCCCCATGGAGAGGAACAAAAAAACACGGCCCCTAGTCCCCGGCGGCCCCACTATCCCGGGCCACGGTAGCGGTCACGGTAACGGTGGGGCGAGGGGTGCTAAGAATCACCGGGTACCGACAGGCTACCAACCCCGACGACCTCTGGCCCTGGCAACATTTAACACTCGCACGCTGCGGACTGACGTGAGGCTCGCCGAACTCGAGGAAGAACTGAGCAGGTTGCGGTGGGATATCGTAGGATTATGCGAAGTCCGAAGAGAGGGGGAGGACACCATAATCCTGAAATCCGGAAACCTGCTCTATTTCCGGGAGGGCGACCAGCAGTCCCAGGGTGGTGTCGGGTTTATCGTCCACAAGTCCCTTGTCAACAACGTGGTCCAGATCGAGAGTGTTTCGGCGAGGGTAGCGTACCTTATACTCAGAATCACCAAACGGTATTCGCTGAAGGTCATACAGGTATACGCACCGACCACGGAACACCCCGACGACGAAGTGGAGACTATGTATGAGGATATTTCCAGAGCCATACATAGCTCCCGGTCCCATTTTACCGTTGTGATGGGGGACTTCAACGCGAAGCTGGGTAGACGAAGCGATAATGAGCTGAAAGTGGGGCAATTTGGGTATGGAGAGAGGAACGCACGTGGCCAACTGCTGGCTGGCTTTATGGAGAGGGAGGGCCTCTTTATGATGAACTCCTTCTTCAGGAAGCCAAAACAGCGAAAGTGGACATGGCTGCATCCCAATGGCGCTATAAAAAATGAGATCGACTTCATCTTGTCGACGAAGAAGCATATATTCAATGATGTCTCTGTGATCAACTCGGTCAAAACAGGTCCATACAAAATGGAACTGACTCCTTTATGCAAAAATCGTTAAAGAACATAAAAATAACGTATAATAATAAAAAGGTTTTCATACAAGCATTTTTTAAACCAATTTCGAGCCTTGCCCCCAGGATTTAAAGTATCGATATCTTATCGACTCCATTTTATCTTTCTTCTCTCTAATTGCTTTTTTCAAAGTGTGCGTCACGTCACGAGGCCATTGATTGGCCATAAGGCACGCCTTCTGGCCAATCACAGCACTTTTAAGCCGGTTGCACATGTTGTCGTAGACTCTCAGTCGCTTTGTTTTTACACAGTTGAATGTGTGTGTGGGGAGCTGTGGTGGGGGAAATGTGGGGACACTGGTTCTCGTTGTAGTTACGCGCGACTTCATATCTATTCTCTTTCTATGATCTGAGGTTCTACTACTTTAATCAATAATCGATTCTTATCGATATCGGACAGACGAATGATACTAATTATTATTAAAAAATAACTCTCATTATAAATAAATATTCTAATTAATGTGTATTTGTAGTATTTATATGCCTTTTTTTTCCTAGTTTCCCACAAGATGCAATATTAAAAGAAAAATGGATCGCGGCTACGGGACGGAAAGACTGGTTTCCGACTAAACATATAGTACCATTTGTTCAATTCATTTTGAAAGTACCTGTTTTATTGACCCTTCAAAAAAGAAGAGATTGTTAAAAAAACGGCATGCCACTATACATATTACACGGTGTTAGGTAAATGGGTATGTGAGCCGACACTAGCCCATGTTACCATGGGCATATAAATGGTATGGTGAAGTCAGAAAATTGATATCTTGATTTTAATTATATTAATTTTCATAAAAATCGGATTTCGTAAAATTTATTTTGTATGACAATGAAAAAAATTAAAATGATGATATCAAATTTCTGACTTCACCATACCATTTATATGCCCATGTTAACATGGGCTAGTGTCGTCTCATATACCCATTTACCTAACACCCTGTATATTATAGATTGCCACAAATAACAGAATTTTGTGATCAAATAATCACATAATATTGCTGGATATGTTATAAGAGCAATAAAAAATATCTACGAGGCACCGTTGTCGAGATATTGATATTTTGATAAAAACTTAAAATGTATTTTATTCACTATTTAAAGTAAATATAACATATTTTAAGTTTTTATTAATACGGGATCGTGTCTAAAATTAGCCTTTTATATTTATTTATTTATTACGGTATACCAACAACATTACATACGAAGTAATTACATGAAAATCTTATATATAGAAGTTTAGTGTGTATGCATGCCAATAACAATATTTAATTGTTTTTTTTAAATAAAACTACATGTGACTTTGTCTCAAAATAAACTTAAACAGGATGAAATTAATGATACAAAAAAAATAATTATGTGTGACAACACTGGCGGCTCGAAAATGCAATAATAAGCAATCTGTTTTAGAATTTATACTTACATTTTTATTTAAAATTCAGAGAAAATATTATCTACTAGCGGCCGCCCGCGACTTCGTACGCGTGGATCCCGTTTTACCCCCTTCATCTATCTTACGCGGTTTAGATTTTTTCATACAAATGTTTTTTCCCGCTAACTCCCGTTCCCGTGAGAATTTTGCAATATCCTGTTGTAACTAAGCTTTGAGTTTACTAAGGTACCTGCATGCCNAGATATCTGGTTCACTATTAATTATAAAAATAAATTAAATAATAATTCAAACAAAATACACATATGTACTCTCTACCTCTGTGAAGAAAGACTTGGATATTCCTACAAAACTCAGCTTATAAATTTCTCAGATAAACTCTCGCACATAATAAATTCTTGTCCAAACGATACATTCATCATATTGGGTGATTTTAACCTCAGTAATGTGGATTGGTATCAAAACGGCGATACTATTGAACCGATGTTGTAGGCGAAGCTCAAATATACTTTTTCGACACTCTGACTGAATGTAACCTGAATCAGTATAATCTATGTCGAAATATAAACAATAGGCTTTTGGACTTAACCTTAAGTAATGTCGATTTGGTTGTCTCATGTAGTGATGATCCCTTAGTACCAGAAGATGCCCACCACAAATCACTCAGTATTTCATTAAGTGCTGCCGTTTTCAAACCCCTGAAAGCAAACCATAGGCTCAAGTACCTATACAGTGTGTCCGGGCATGTAGTGATCAAACTTTAAGGGCGTAATCTATGGACAATTTTATCGGTGAAAATACTTTAAATTTGGGGCTTGACCCATTTCTTGCATATTTACAAGGATTTAACCCATTTAGACCGATAATTATTTTTGTAAATAATAATTAATTTCTCAGCAAGAACTTACAAAAGGAAGCATAAAAATCATGAAAAAAATATTTTAAAAAATAATCCATAAAAAGGGGGCCGTGGGGAGCCCGTACCATATAGGGTACAGTAGGTCTATATGCATGCAAAACATAGTAGTTGTTCAAAGCAGGTTTTTATTTATTTTTGTATGATATAAAATAAAAATAAAATCACATCACCACCAGTATTACTCTTGGCATAGCTTGTAAGACGTTTTATATGGCACTAATCACATTTGGTTCTTTTTTCCTACCTTCTCCAAAGTTAGTGAGGATAGCTGAAGAGGACCTGGCTTCTTCTGACTTGTTACGTTTATTGCTATCAATAACCACATTTAACAATACGATGACGGAAATTTAGCAAATCCATCGAAGAAAACTCTGAGGATAATTATTTACATTGACACTATCTTTATCGCCTGAATCTTCGTCAGTCTGATCACCATTAGCGGCCATCTGATAAGAAAGCAATCAAGTGAAGCATCAATAGCCTAAAACAATGAAAAATAATAAAAATTAAATTACATTTTCTCGCATGATTTTACTTATGCATAGACCTACTGTACCTTATAGGGTACACCTATTTTAGACTAGAAAAAATGGTATAAAAATAATCTCAATAATATTTTTTTCGTAGTTATGATATCTATTGTACTTTATTCTTGAAATAAAATTGATAAATAATATAATTTACCATGAATAATATGAAATATACCTTCTTGAATACATTGTAAATAAATTTTTTTGTTTTCTGTCGAGGAATTTTAAAAATATTTCCGAAACCACCTTTTAAAACGCATTTTTAAATATTTTTATGTAAAATAATAACTTTAAGCTTACTGTCACAATCATTTTTACAAAATAACAACAAACTGTTACTTCAAAATATTTTCAATAATATACCGTACCACATAGGGTACGGTAGGTCTAAATGGGNATACTTATCGTAATTAATTTTTAATCCGCTCGTTTTATATTGTTTGTGTAAAATCGCCTTTAATTTTATTTTATGAATAATTTCAGCCGTGTACCATTCCGGGTAAATGTATTTCGAGCTACCTACATTTGGTTTCTTTCTAGGAACATATTTTTCTAAAATAGCATTTAAAGTTTCATAGAAAAAATTTAAACTGTTTTCTAAATCCAAATTCCATATACATTTGTCCAATCGATTGTTGCTATAGACGAATACAGTAACAAAAAATTAGCTTTATTAAAGTTCCATTGCGCCGAAAGATGTGTACTTTGTGCAGCACAGTGCTCATTGCGGTCAAATCGTGAGCCGAAACAGCGGCGAACGGCGGGTGGTACCGGTCGGGGCACACGAGCGGACTCGCCTCGCTCACGCACACAACGTCGTCGCCCCACGTACCCAATACAAGATCCAAGCAACGATCATTACAATTGAGTACACTATTGCTCTGAGTGAATCCACAATAACTCCAAAAATATTCATAATAATTGGTTACATTTACTGGGCAAAAATACAAATTAAAATCTCCTATAACTAATAATTTGCGGTTCAACATATAGTAATAATAATAATAATAATAAATTTATTTCAACAACAAAGTGTGACTTACAGAATAGTCGTATACTTGTAAAGTAAGTAGGTAGTTATACAAAAAAGAAACTATAAATCTATATTGGGACTTCCGGTTACGGCGTTTGACAAGTGAAGTGCGTTATAACCTGCGTCCCAAAGTTTTAAAGTAAATCGACACCAAAACTTTTCGATTCATCCCTAATATCAGTGAACTTCATAGTTAAACACTTGGACGATCTGAGGTGACGTGAATTTTACGAAAATATTCAGGATAAAACGTGAAAAAGTGTGAAAAATGAAGCTAACGTTAAACATCTCCATAGCTATAAACATAACCTAACCACCAAACAACTTCCGTCAGCTGACAGTGACAGCCAGTGACAGATCAAATACCATAGACAACGACAAAAAGTTCACGGCCTTGGACATTAAGTGTGACCAGCTTCTGAAATTTTAACTAATTGGTAGAAAATGGATACCCAATTGGAACTTTTACTTAAACAAATAAATGAAAACCTTAACATGAAAATTAACGAAATAAAGGAAGAATTTGCAACACAAACAAACAATCTGACCACAAACTTGTTATCAAGAAAGAAGATATCAACTATATCGCACGTGTCCCAACTAGAGTCCCTAAGATTGAAAAGCCAATAATAGTGTCATTCCACAGTCGTTACACAAAAGAAAACTACGTAGCGGCGTCGCGTAAGAAGAAACAAAACAAACTGTCAGATATAGGCTACGCGGCGGAGGGGAATTTCTACGTTAATGATCATTTAACACAATATAACAAAAACCTATTGAGCAAAGCGAGGACATTAGCTAAAGAAAAAAACTTTCAATACATTTGGGTCAAGCATTGCAAGATTATGGCAAGAAGATCGGACACCACGCCAATATTTTTTATAAAAACCGAAAAGGACTTACTAAAAATCGCTTAATAATTAATTTGTTAATCGTTAGTATACAGATTGCTTGTATTTTGTATTTGCTAGCTGCACACAGTTTGGGAACCACACTCATCCCCGCTCTCTGCATACCGGTTCCGCTCGCGGCAACTATAACACTGCGCGAGCGGTCTACGCACGTAAGTAATTCTCTGTTACTCAGCCGGTTTCCGCCCGCCCGTGACTGCGCTCGCCCGGTTTTAATGGTCATTATCGCCTGCGCTCTAATAAAGCTGCGCCTATGTTCGCTTGCGCGTAGCCAAGAATGCTTAGTTTTTATGCCTACGTTGATACGACTCGACTGTTTTAAGTATACCCTGCATTTTTATAATTATTTGGAGTTGGGCGGCGAATCTTGCGGGACTTTTTGGGGCTTATCTGTTGCTGGCGAGCTTGCTTGCCTGTATGGCTGCTTTTCATATGATTTGTTTTTATTGGGAATGGTTGGCTGGAGGAAGTATTCGATGGTTTGGCACATATCTATTTTAACATTTTATTATTGTTCTCACATGATCATTAATATTTGCAGATTGTTTTACCACAATAATTATTGTATTTCGTTTAACACAGTGTTTTACATGTTTTTATTTATTTTTAGTTGTGATGGCTAATGAACTGAGTTTATATTATCAGAATACCCGGGGACTGCGCACAAAAACGCACTCTTTTAAGCGAAATGTTTTTATGAATTCCTATGATGTTATTTCATTGACTGAAACATGGCTTATTGCTGGAATAGGTGACGCGGAGCTTTTTGATGATAGGTATCTCGTCTTTCGACGCGATAGGAATTACTCTGAAACCCAAGTAAAATATGGTGGGGGTGTGCTTTTGGCTGTGCGCCGTGAACACACGGCTGTTGACCGACCGGACTGGAATTCGACAGCCGAAGATATCTGGGTTACTATTAATTATAAAAATAAATTAAATAATAATTCAAACAAAATACACATATGTACTCTCTACCTCTGTGAAGAAAGACTTGGATATTCCTACAAAACTCAGCTTATAAATTTCTCAGATAAACTCTCGCACATAATAAATTCTTGTCCAAACGATACATTCATCATATTGGGTGATTTTAACCTCAGTAATGTGGATTGGTATCAAAACGGCGATACTATTGAACCGATGGGAATTGTAGGCGAAGCTCAAATATACTTTTTCGACACTCTGACTGAATGTAACCTGAATCAGTATAATCTATGTCGAAATATAAACAATAGGCTTTTGGACTTAACCTTAAGTAATGTCGATTTGGTTGTCTCATGTAGTGATGATCCCTTAGTACCAGAAGATGCCCACCACAAATCACTCAGTATTTCATTAAGTGCTGCCGTTTTCGAACCCCTGAAAGCAAACCATAGGCTCAAGTACCTATATAGTAGGGGAGACTATGAGAGGATCCGTGAATACCTCAACTCAGTGGACTGGGAATACTCTTTAATAAATAATGATCCTCTGGACGACGCTCTTGACTTCTTTTACAAATGCCTCTATGACGCTATAGATAAATACATACCGCAGAAAAAATATTACCCTTCTACTTACCCGCCATGGTACAACACTAGCTTGATTAAAATATTGAGAGAAAAGTCTAAATACCTAAAGAAATTTCGGATTTATGGTAACACATCTGACTATAGTACCTTTTCTCTTCTGCGTAAAAGAGCGAAATCAATCGAAAATAAATGTTATCGTGATTACCTCAATAAAATGGAAGTATCTATAACTGAGAATCCTAAATTGTTTTGGTCATTTATAAAAAATACTAAGAAAGGTAATAATACTCTTCCTTCTAGTCTATCATATAATGGTATCACATCTGAATCTGGCGAAGGGATATGTAATCTCTTTGCAACATATTTCCAATCAACTTTTTTATCACCATCGTTGAATAACAGAGATTGTAAGGACACACCTGACTGTAATAGTTCTTATTCGATTAGCGACATAGAGGTTTTAGCGGAAGACGTCCTTAAGTTATTAAAGTCAATTGATTTAAATAAGGGAGCCGGTCCAGATCGCATTTCGCCACTTTTCATAGTTAGATGTGCTGATGAATTAACAAAACCGCTTACCATATTATTTGACCGCTCCCTTAAGGAGGGTATTGTACCTAAAATGTGGAAATCTGCCTTTGTCACGCCCATTCACAAATCCGGAAGTAGGAGTGAAGTGAAAAATTATAGGCCGATATCCAAGTTGTGCATCTTCTCAAAATTGTTTGAGAGGATAGTCCACAACCAAGTATACAGTGCCCTATCTAACTTTTTTATCCCTGAGCAGCATGGTTTCCTCAAAAAGCGGTCAACAGCAACTAATCTCCTCTCATTTGCGGATTTTGTCACCTCAAATATGGATTCTGGTCGTCAGGTTGATTCTATATTTACCGATTATAGCAAGGCATTTGATCGTATTGATCACTCAATACTGCTGGAAAAGCTTTTGTCTGCTGGAATCCATGGCAATTTGCTCAGATGGTTTTCATCTTATATCGAGAATAGATCTCAGGCCGTTGCAGTTAACGGATACTCATCCGCATGGCATGATGTCCCTTCCGGTGTCCCACAGGGATCTTTGTTGGGGCCTCTACTGTTTGACATCTTTGTCAATGACATAAACTCATGCTTTCAGTCTTCAAAATTCTTGCTGTATGCAGACGACATGAAAATATTCAAGAAGATTGAAACGCTTCATGATTGTTGTCTATTACAGGGTGATCTCGTAAGGTTGGAAGATTATTGCAATCGGAACAAACTGGACCTAAATGTTAGTAAATGCTTCTCGATAACTTTCACCCGCAAACCTAAACCTATTTTAAATAACTATATTTTAAAAAAGCAAGAACTTACACGTGTTAACGAAATCAAGGATCTGGGCGTTACCCACGAGTCCCACGACACTAAACTAACTTATGAAAAACACGTAGACACTATCTCTAGAAAGGCCATTAAACTCATGGGATTCGTAATGAGATCTTGTTCTCAGTTTTCGAGCATCAAAATCATCAAGATACTCTACTGTTCATTTGTGCGTAGTGCCCTGGAATATTGTTCACAGATCTGGNATGAACAACTTTACACAATCGCACCTCTGGTATCCACAGTATAACATATACATCAATAGATTAGAAAGTATACAACGTAAGCTGATGAGATTCTTGCAGTATAAATGTAAAAAATACGATGCCTCATATGAATCCAGGTGTAAGAGACATCATATACTGCCTTTGAGTGAGAGACGTAGAATCGCAGACGTTGTGCTGTATGTGAAAATAGCACAGTCTCAAATAGATACGCCAGACCTTCTTTCCTCAATTAAACTTAAAGTACCAAACAGATCAGTCAGACGACCTACTGCAATCTGTATTCCTCAATGTTCTACAAATTATAGACAGAACTCTTTCCTTGTGCGAGCAGCGGCCCAGGTGAACGGGCTCGTCGATGATCGTGAGCTGGACCTGTTCAACTCCAAACCAGTAGATTTTAAAAAAACTATGTCGAAAGAGTGGTTTGAGTTGGTTCCCTGACCGGAAGTTCTTATGTTCCTGTTTTATATTTTATTTTTTATCTTTAAGTATGTTGTTTAGTTTGCAGCGTAATTTGTGGCGTAAAAAGTATAAAATAATTTAAGTATATTAGTAAACATTATTTCAGTTATTGTATGCGAAAACATATAATTGGTGTAAAGCTTTATATTCAGATAGTTAATAAGTCAATTAACACTGTTTGTTTTCCGAATAAAGTAAAAAAATATTTTTGTATAATATGTATAACTATGTATTGAAAAAACATTGCAGTTCTTAGGTAGACCAAAGTGAAAATGTTTATAAGTTGTTGGTATAAGCTTCTGTTTTGTAACTATGGAATGAAGCTAGTATACTGGTTTAAATTAAACCTTATCACGAGACCAGAATAAAGCGTAGAAAGCGGAAAAAATTCACTGTTGTTCGTTTTGGACGAAATTGCTGCAGCCATCGCTGGTCGTCGCTGCTGTTTATTGATAAGGATGACCGAAACTGAAACTGCTAATATGTTTTGGCACTCAAAACCTAAAGGTAGGATTACTGATATTAAACATCTGATGAAATCTTAATAATTTTGGTGTTTATCATGCCACCGTTCAATAAAGCTGCTGCTCAAAAAATTGCAACAGTTGCAGTACGCTACTGTTGCACAACAGGGTTATGTTTGCACACGCGCACCCATACAGTAACCGGATGGTGCTGAGGAAAAGAAGTGCGTGAACCGGTTACCCCACACCGAGGCAAATATTCTAAATTAATATTTGAACATTTAAATAACATNTATAGATGACCCACGCTGAACTGTCCCACCAAACTCAATGACAGGGGGGCGCTACCATCGTTCAACTATATGGTTTCCAACATGGCAAAAATCTGAACCAGTGATCCGGTATTGACGGTGGCGCCCCACTGTCAATGTCATCGACAGGACAGTCCAGTATTTTGGAACTATAGCTTCGGCGCAGTACCGATCACTGACGTTTGTCAACAAAACTTCTGACAAACTTGCTTGACTCTTGAGACAAGCTAAATTACACCATATTGTTAATGACATTGAGCATACATTTTTTTAAATACATTCGCGAAGTAAAACTTCTGTACGTAGTACTTATTATTATTCTGTGGTAATAGTTCCAATAACTGATCTAATACCTTCGAGATTCTCTTGAGAGTCACAAAAGGTTGTAGTTTATTTTATACAAAAAATGTAAAATTCCAACTTATTTAGCCTAGCTAAACCTTAAATAATAGATCGTTTTTAGATCCCAAATTGCCTATTATTTTTAAACAGCTTAATATACTTGTTTGAACTCTGTAGGCGTTTCTTAACAATCTATTTTGGGGCCAATTGAGCGTCTAATCTGGTATTTTTAGAATTTATCGAAGTTAATACGATATAATTTGACACATGGTTTATTTTTGTCTTTCCAAGAGTCCCATTACCTAGTTGTTACTCTAACTCAGACAGTTCTATTTTAAGAATATCTATTCTTGTAAAGGTTGGTCTCTTTTTCACTACTTTTAGTAAGCCTTTTCTATAGAAATGTCTTAACCTATTAACCGCCAACCCGTATCCAAATGTGTCCCAGGCTCTAAGCTATGGCGCGCCGGGAACAGTAAGAAAATTTATTTTCTGTTTTGTAAATAGACAAATGCCCATAAAATGTAAATGTAAAGTTAGGCTTACCCACAGTAATCGATAAAATAAGCACCAATAAAGAAAGCATTTGTTTATGTATTTTAACAAATAATTGTTGTAAAGCAGTGTTAGGATTATTCTGAGACATGTCAGTAAAAGTACTAACTAATAAATTAACTAAAAATTTCTTAGCGATTAGAGTCGCTTCTCAAACGTTCGATTCGATTCGATTCCCGCCTTAGGCAGTTAGATTTTTTCAAGTTGTTTAAATGTATAATGTAAAAGTACTTTTTAAAACCCTACCTGCTTACAAACATAAAAGAGTTTTGTGAGTTGTTTTAGTTTTATTAGATACTGTCTTCTATAGAAGACCGTGGCGCTGAAAAGGTTAAGGTCCTAGTTTCTAAAGTTATTTGTAGGTATAGCAACCACTGTCTGTCTGACTGGTTTATATAGAGGCTTGTCTTTAATTCGAGTCAGTAAAATAACTTTTTAGCAGTCTAGTTATCGGACTGTCTCGACTATGGGGTTATACATATGAATCATAGATGGGTACAAAAGTATTTTCTATCTGACTCTACCTCAATTTTAACAACCTACACGATAAACAGAGTTCTAAAATTACCTAATTTAAATGTAAAATACCATAATTTGAAAAATTTCTACAGTTTCACCACATTTGATTCGTTATTATTTTATTGAAAAGCAAATGTTGAGATAGGTAGTTCTAAAACTCTATTTCATTGGATTTTTACAAAATTATTGCCAAGTTTTACTAGTTTTCTTTGTTGTCCAAGTTTTACTATGTTTCAGTTTTTCTTGGTCTCGATTCTAAAAATAAGTGTTCGCAAAAGTTTTGAAAAAGTACTTGCTATTAAGATTTAAGGGAGCGCCGCAGAGCTGGCTGACGCCCAAGTGGCCCAGATTCGGTACCTGACTCGACTGGGTAATGTGAAAGAATAACTTGTTACTTCTTTTTATCTTTACCTTGGATATGTAACGGGTGTACCTGCTATTAATATCCTTTGTTGGCAGAAGAAATGTCTTTACAGAGATCAACTCACCTATAGGATTTTTGGATTTTTAACTGAGCTATATGTATATTGTTTTAAACTTTCATGGTCACTAACATAATTGTTATTATTGACGGCTAGCAATCCCATCGGTAATAATAATTTAACTAAGCTATTACTATAATATCATAAAGGTTTGTACGAAAGGTAGTGGTTTCAAGTTAGTAGTAGAGGTACGTAATAGATTTTTCCGAGTGATGTTTGGGATTTAGACGTCAAAGTCTAGATTCAATTTAGAGGTTTTATAGATATAGAGTACAGAGTACCTACTGTGAAATATAGGTTGTGCTTTTTCTATTTGTTTGAGGATCTAATATCACTTTATCGAGGTGAATTAAAAATATAATACCTACCTTAAGCTAAGATTACATAAGTGACTGATAACAGAATGTTAGTTTTATAATTTGTGTATAGCCTAGGTATTTTCTATACCTAAGAATCAAATTTCAATGCAAATCATGCAAAAGATTAAGCATTATTCTACCTACCAACTTGTTTAATTGGTGTCTACGTCATACACAACTACATGTCATACAGACACGAGTGTATGTAAATGGTCAAACCTTCAATTATTGAGTCGTTCCCACGGCTTTGTTTAGTGTAATGAAAACAAAGAATTTTAGGGTTTTCTGAGAAAATAAATATCTATGAAAAAGTGGTAATGTATTGAGCAGAGATTTTCTTTCTACCCTCTTTCACTTCTGGTTGTTATGCTTTTATTATGAAAATTAAACAAAAATTTATTGCTCTCACTGCTACAACTCCTGTGTAGCCAGGAACTACAGCTTGACCCCCAGTATAAACCAACCTCTAAAGGCTTAGTTTCTCCCAGGGGATCTCAGTGAGACCTTGTCCAGCTGTGGGACGCAGTAGGCTTAGAAAAAAGATTAATGCAAACTAGTAATGTTGGAAATTATATCCTACGTGAAGGCTGATCTCAACTTGCCTTTTAAGAATGAATATTATAACCCAATCAAGACCTCAAATTATAGAGTACCAGTAGTAGAGTAGAATGTTGTGAAAACCCGTTTTCGCAACATTTTTCATTTTCGGTCTGCACCTATTACTCATAGCGTGATAGTATATAGCCTTCCTCAATAAATGGGCTATCTGATACTGAAAGAATTTTTCAAATCGGACCGGTAGTTCCTGAGATTAGCGCGTTCAAGTAAACAAACAAACAAACTCTTTAGCTTTATAATATTAGTATATGNGCCCTTTCCAAAGCAGAATAATCGTTATTTTATCCATAACTCGATGAAATCAGACACATTACTGAACTTTAATTATTATGGCAGGTTTGTTACAAATTAATTATTATTTCAAAAATATGTATTTTACTGACCTTTTATTTTCCTTATTTTTCAAAAAATGTGTATTTATCCTCGTCGCCACTTGTAAATGTGCACACTGGCTCACCGTCACACCAAGCGTCTCACTGCGGCACGTCCGTACTCGCCGGCGTCTGCCGTACGACTGACTCGTCCCACTCGTAACGACGTCACGTGACTGCCTATCACTTGTGTACGTGAGACAGCGTATTGTATCTATCTAGTACGTAGATACAAACACTACAGTATAGATTAATGTAAGCTAACATCAAAAATAGCTCCTGTATGAGATATACTGAACCTTACTAAATTTCCAGCTCGCACATATCCATTTTTTGTTTGTCTAGTTTTGCGCTATTATTTTCCGTTGAAGAGTTTGTTGCCCTTGACTACTAAGACGTGTGACAAACTAATGCGCTGTCGTTACTGTGATGAGCTGGTGTAGCCTCGAAAATCCTTTTGTGGTGGACTTGGACGGAAGGAAGCTATTTGGGGTATTTAGTGCAGAAAATGCCAATGGCATCTTGAGCGCTGGAAAGGCAAAAAAAGAATGAGACATGTAGAGGCTCCTTAAGAGCATTTGACGATTTTCAAGTACTAATTTAATTAGTCTAAACAAATGAAGATAATTTTGATTTTGAGAAGTTGCTAAAGGCAGTTACAATCTTTCCATAAAAGTATGTAATAATATGTTGGAAATCAAATTCCATCTTCTGAAAAAGGTACCCCCTTATTCTTACCTCCAATTATTGTACTTTATCATCCACCTTTCACCTTATTACTCTTCTGAATCTATCTATATAAAAGCGAAAGGTCACTGACTGACTCACTCTTCACGAAATCTCAGAAACTACAAGTGCTAGGAGTCTCAAATTTTGCATGGGGGTTCCTTTTAGAACGTAGGTGCTTACTAAGACGGGATTTTGCAAAATTCCACACCTAAGGGGATAAAACGGGGTCGACGTGTACGAAGTCGCGGGCGGCCGCTAGTCTAGTACTTCATAACATACAATCATTTATGAACTGTCTTATAAGTTAATTTATCCTCAGCAAGTAGGAATACAAAATACTTCATTTCTTGTTCAAAAAATAAAAGATAAAGCATAAACTGGCTAACAGAACTAAGCTTCTGTAAGTAGTGTTCAGTAAGTAGGTAATCAAATTACTTTTTCATTATGATG